CAGTCAGTAGCTTAACATAAAATCAGCTAGCCTGGCTCGATACAACATTACAAGATTAATCTACATGAGTATTGATTAGTGAGCTTTAGATGCCTCCACGCCTTCTTAAATAACCGTTTAGCATTTGCAAAGACAAGAAACAGCTAGCCAGGCTCTATTCCAAGTTAACTAAATTAATCAACCAAAGAATTAGTGAGCTTCAGAGGCCTTAGTGCAGATTCAGGGGTGCATTTTTAACAGGTTGCTAGCTTTAGCTTAGCTAGATTCAGAGTTAAAGTAAGTCTGCAAAAGGCCTTTGTTTGTCCATATATGAGAGCAGCATTAATATTCTCATCCAAACCTTGGTAAGATAAACAAAAAAAGCATATTTCCCAAAGTGTTGACCTATTCTTTTAATCTTTTTCCTTTTTTTAAGTCATGAGTCACACAGCCATGTTGTGATAAAAATAAAAGTTTTAAATGTATCAATAAAAAACACCAGCTTCAGTAAAGTTGATGTTTTACCAAATCAGGTGCATTACAATATCGCAGTTAACAAAAGGATAAAACTCCTTAAGGAAATCTACAAATGGCATTATAGACAGATCCACCACATTTCAACAACATACGTCTGGGTATAGACATCTACAAAGTGTACCTACAAGTTGTCAAAATCAAGTGTGCCAAAATCTGACGACATCGAACGTTGCCATTTAAAAATAGACACTTCATAAAAATCAAAGAATTAGTAACATCGAAGACTGGATACTCGAAAAGGCAGGTCAACTTACATTAACAGTACATGAACTAGTCAGATTTATTAAGTTCGACATGCTGTCCAGCCTTAGCAGCTCTACTCTTCAGTGTTCATGTGCTTTAGTTCTTTCAGTTACAGACATACGGGAAATGACATGGGTTATAAAACAGTGTTACAAAAGCCAATCCCTTCAAAAGTGGAGGGGAAAGACATACCCTGCTATTACCTTGTCAAATTTTAAGTTGACCAGCCAACTTTAAGCCATTAAAATGCATTAAAATCATCTCAGAGGGAGAGGAAAAAATAAAAAATACAGTACTAGCTTAAAAGAAAAGATAAAGTCAGGAGGGCAGTGGTAGTCAGTCAATGAGATGTGGATTTAGTAATCCGCAGGTTCGTCTCCCTCCTCATTCAGCAAACAGGTGCGGATGAGGGCCTCGATCACACTGTACGGGTCGCAGTTGGCAGATGGGCGGCGGTCCTCAAAGTAGCCTTTCTTCTCCTGGCCGACGTTACGAGGAATGCGGATGCTGGCTCCGCGGTTAGCCACACCGGCGGAGAATTCGTCGATGTTTGAGGTTTCATGGTGGCCGGTGAGACGACGGGCATTGTCGAGCCCCCCTTTGGGGTCATAGGCACGGATGTGATAGCTGTGCCTCTTCCCAAGCTTCTCGATGGACTCTTCAATGGCTCTGAAAGCAGAAATCACAAGATTCTCCATCAGAAACATTTAATTATTCATGCAAAATTAGCAAGAACAAAAAAAGCTTTGGACACTCACTTTAATCCACCTTCTTCCCTCATCTCCTTTGTGCTGAAGTTTGTATGGCAGCCAGCACCGTTCCAGTTACCAGGGATTGGCTTTGGGTCAAATGAGGCAACAACGCCAAAATCTTCACAGACACGGTGCAGGATGAAACGTGCCACCCAGAGATGATCACCCATGTTGATCCCTTCACAAGGGCCAACCTGGAACTCCCACTGAATACACACACACATCATATGTCATTATAAATTACAGGTCAAACTGACATTCTAAAACCATAAAAGCATATTTTTACTGTCATTACCTGAGCAGGCATCACTTCTGCATTTGTGCCACAGATGTCAACTCCAGCATAGAGACAAGCTCTATAATGTGCCTCCACTATATCTCTACCATAGGCTTTGTCAGCTCCCACACCACAGTAATATGGACCTGCAAATATGACGATTGTTAAACCAACCACCCATTGAGACATGTTCCCAACGGAGAAATGCAGAGAAACACTTTCTTCTGACCTTGTGGTCCTGGGAAACCGTTAGATGGCCAGCCAAATGGGTGTCCGTCTGTGCCCAGGATGGTGTACTCCTGCTCCATGCCAAACCAAGGATGCTGCTCCTCCACCATCTCCATCACTTTCTTACATGTGATTCTAAGGTTGGTTTCTGCAGAAAAGGCAACAATAAAAAAAAATAGATTTAGGGTACCAGGGTTACAAATGTAAGCTGTAAAACAATTCGTCATTTATAGAATCATTTCAGTTTCTCATTTTTCCTAAATCTGCTTTGAAGGGCTACAAACCTCATGCATAAGAATGAATGGATGTCTGCAAGTGCAAATGTGTGCATTTGTGTAGGGTCAATGAAATGTGAGTGTGTGTGTGTGTGTGTGTGTGTGAGCATGCTACTGTGTGTGTGTCCCTCATTTGAAGACAACATACCAGGACTGAAATATTCCAAATTATGAACATTTGGCAAAGTTGTCCCTCATTACATATATAGATAGATGACTTTATTAATCCCCCATGGGCAGAATTAAGTTGTCATAGCAGCAGGTACACTAATGACATAATTACATTACATGCTTGTTTATCCAAGATAAAATCTAGAAATGATAAGACATTTTCCAAACAAGTGCTGGACATCATAATTCTCCTTATAAAGTAATGCCACACACACAAACACATACACACACTGTCAAATTACTTGAGTCATTGCTTCATGTCAACTACTATTTCAGTTACGATATATTACTCTCATGTTATTCAATGGAGAGCAGCAGGATTTCACTGGGAGTCTTTATAATATTACTTTACATGATCTGAGCTTGTTTGTTACCTGCAGGTGTGTGGTTGTACTTCAGCACTTCACACAGGACAAGCTTGTTGGGGTCTTTACGAAATGGGTCTCGGAAAATGGCAGCAGGAGCCAGGTACATGTCGCTGTTGGAGCCCTCGGCCTGGTAGGTGCTGGAGCCATCAAAGTTCCACTCAGGGAGATCTGCAGCAGCAGGAGGAGGAGGATGGAGGCAATTTTATATACATTCAGGGCATCCTCTTTATGAGTTTTTCAAAAGTCAGGAGGTTTCTTACCTTCAATGCTCTTAGGCTCAAAATCCAGGGTCCTGGTTTTGCAGCGGAGGCCCTCTCCGGTCCCATCCACCCAAATGTACATGGCTTGGACTTTGTCCCCCTGAGGGAGCTCCATGTACTGCTGTTTGACAGCTTTACTCAAGCTGGCGCTTTCGGACGTGGCCATCTTCTCTCCTACTATAACACACCTGAGGAGGAGAAGGAGGGATACTGGTAAACGAGATGAGGATGGGACCCATTGCTGCGTTCTGGATCACACGTTGCGTAAAACACCATTGTCTCTTTCTTCCGGCATTTTCCTCACTTTCCACTTGGAAAACAAAGACACTTCCACACCTCTTGTGCATGAATATTAAGACTGAATTAAAACAAACACACTGCGGATTCCAATTCCACCTCCAATAATAAACGATAAGGAGGAAACAGGGTGAGGATCACGCGGTTGTTTGCTGTTGCCACGGGTAACGACCGATGATGCAACATTACATCAAAAGCTTCCTGGTTGTAATCCATCACCAACACACAGAAAATATCACAACTAACACCAGGATCAACACGAGAACACTACAAACACTACAAACACACGCTGGATCACACGGATCAGAGTCTGAAAGTCTGTGAAAGTCTGAGAGACCGAAGGAGGAAGAGAGAGAGAAAGTGAAAGAATTACCTGGAGAAACGAGGAAGTCGAAATAAAAACTAAAGGACAGACGGGTCCAGTGTCTCGTCGTGTGCTGTCTCGCCAGTGTTTCTCTCATTCTCCGGTACCGTGAAGCCGGGTCCGGCCCTTTTTATAAGAACAGGGGCTGCTCGCTGATTGGTCGGAGTTGTTGGACAAACCCGGAGCCGCAACGCCCCCCGAGCAGGAGACCGACCGCGTGCGTGTTACGATGCGTAACGTGACTCCTTCTTCTGAGCGCGTGCGTGCTCCTCATCCTAACATCAATCCATGAGGAATTAAAAGTGTGGACTGGCCTCAGACCCAGAGCTGCTGTTAATATATATGAAGATAAAACGTGCTTCCATGACCCAGCAACGTGGAGCAAAATGTACAACTCTGCCCACGTGTAGTTCTTTGTCTGCGACGCCACCTCGTGGTGCAAATAAGTCACTGCAAGATTGTGCAGGGGGGAAATTACGTAATCCCCAAGAAGAGTAATCGTCTGGTGTTGGTTCAAACTGGTTTTGCACTGGATGCCCACGTGAGAAAATTATGTGTAAAATGCATCTATAGTGATGCATGAAAAAAAACATGTTATCTTTTAAATCAGATTGATTACCAAATATGTTTTCATTGTATATTTGCTTTGGTGTTTGGTGCATAACAAAGCAGATTAACAGGCAAGGCATAAAGTATAAAACTGTGCAATGACGTTAAATAAACCAGAATGGGACTCAACAGCACATGACCAAGGCCCAGCAGTCCCCTTAAATTCAATCAAGCTGCACCAAAGTTCTTTGATCTGATATCTCCTGATCGGTTCTTCCCCGAACCCACATCCTTCCACCAAGGTTCATTGAAGTCACTTCAGTTGTTTTTGTGTAATAGTGCTTAAGAGCAAACATACTAACCAAGTAATAAACTAACGGACAAGGTGAGAACATAACCTCCCTCTAAAGAAAATCTAGAATGAGTAAAGCTGGTTTTAACCACACACTTAGGTCAGTCCAGTTGTTACCACTCTGGGGGTTAGGCCCCGACATAGGGTCACCAGATTAATGGGAAACGAGTAGTTGGATGAGAATGAAGAGAAAAAATATATCTATTATTTTCAACCCTTCCTCCAATCTTTGCTGCATTTAAATGTCGGGATTTTTATCAATGTTTTGTTTTTTTGACCCAAATGCGAAAATAGGTTGAAATGCTTGCCTTCAATAAATGCAAGAGGGTCAGAGTGCTGTGTGAGGGGCAGAGCAGGAGACCCTGAGCAGACGTCCCAGGGGCAAAACATGGACGGGGAGAAGATCTCAGGCGACAACCCAGAGGTCAAGAAGAAAGGCCTAACCACTGTGGGTGTCAGCAAAGGCTGGACTGCTCAAGAGGTCAGGCAAGAGGCCAGAGGTGAGGACTGACAACCAAGGTGGCGCAGCTGGGACGCTCAAAATAACAGGCTAACGCTGAAGCTAGCAGGCCGAAGACAAGCTGGAAGTTAGACAGACAAGCTGGAAGTAAGACAGACAAGCTGGAAGTTAGACAAGACAAGCTGGAAGTTGAGAAGAAGTCAAGAGAGTCCAGCAAATCAAACAAGGGAATGTCTGGTGAGTCTATGTTTATATTGATGAGGTTTGGAGGTTTTTTGGACCCAAATGCAGACACAAAAACAGGTTTGTAGCAGCGAGGTGGTTTTTAATAAATGAAAACACTCACTGGCAGGTTGGATTTCAAGCGGGCAGGACAGCAGGTACTAAATCCAAAGGTTGGCACAAGGGAAAACACAATAAAAACAAAATCATGAAGTGAGAAAGAAGAAAAACACAGGAAACAGACACACTGCGAGAACACTGGAAACACACACACACAAACTGACGTGAGTGACGGGAAAAACAAAGAGTTAAATACACACAGGAGACAGAAGTGATTAGGAACAGATGAAACACACCAGGGAACAGAGGAAGAGAAAGACAGGAAGTTAAACTACCAAATGAAATATTAGGACACAATCTCAAAGTAAAACAGGAATTAGTTGGAGTTCAAAGTAATCGTACAGGGATGTGAATGTAACAGCCTAAAACAGATATTTAAATGAAACCAGGAGGAAGTTATATATGAAAACAAAAGTAACTAGACAGGCAGTCAGAGAGCCCAAAGGTCCCCTCATGAAACCGCATTCAAATTCAGTAGATCCAGATTTTTATCTGAAACTGCACCAAAATGGGGAAAATGAACATGAATACATTGTGCATGATCAAGGTTACATTTTCCGTACAGTCCTGTAGCTTTTTGCATAATCCTGCTAATAAACAGACAGATGGACAAAACAAACACAGTTGACAAATGGAACCTCCTAATTACAAGAGCAGCTCTGAATAGGAAAACACTGACACTGGCGTGAACATCCCATGAATTAACTGGACATTAAAAACATGGCCCCTGCTGCTGAATGTCCCTGAATCCCTCTACACAGTATCATCTTTTGTCAATTATTACTTTCCCCTTCTTCAACTTTTTCCCAGGACCAGACTTTGTCCTGGTACATGATGGACATGTCTCCTTCAGGCTGTGGTCTCTGCACACAGTGGCTCAAGGTTGTCATTAGGAGTTGTGGGCCCAAAGTGAAAATTCCACGCTGCACCACCTGGTTCTGTGATGGCAGCTAGACACTTCTTTGAACCTGCTCCTGAACGCAGAGGGCAGATTTCCCCACTGAAGCTCATGCGGAAATGCTCCTCGTCCATAAACATGTATCTTACCAGCCTGTGGTCCTCCGGCAAAACGATGCCCCGGATTCAAACTGGTGAGCATGATGCACGTCAACTAAATTTAGAAATAAACAGTATTAATATTAACAAGCTCTTTCATGTATGAATGTTTGTTGACATGGATTATATTTCCGTCCTTTAACGTCCACAGTGAATTTCCTATCTCCTTCAATCTCCTGTTCTTTGCTCGAACAGTTTTTGGCCTCGAAATCTCATATTTTCTCCATCACATAATTATCAATTCTGTTTGTTTCTTTGCAGTTTTGCAGTTTAGTGAAAGATCTGATGGACTCGAGGACAATAAGGGAGAATATGTTGATATCATAATAGATAACTCTGCTTATATTAACCCTGAATCCCCTGACAGACCTGGATTTCCTTACATTAGGAAAGTACTAAAACAAAATATATGTATTCTGCTTAAGGCTGAGTAATTTCAATATATTGATTTGATTAGAATATTTCTCCAGTATTACCATATTGTAAATTTAAACAAAATGAAGGCAGAATACCACACATACTACTTAAGCAATGTCAAAGTATACTTTTTCAAGAAGTTAGAAGGAATCTCCAAAGTCCAAGAAATCTTACAGAAAAGCAATTTTTTCACAACGTATAAATTAGAATTATTTGTGGATTAATTTGATGTATTTTGAGTCTCTCTTGTGCCTCAGTTAAACTGATGCTTTCTTCCATTGTAAGACTGAATGGTAAAAACATGACATCAACAGGACAAATCATTATGAATAACCAGGCTCTATATTCATCACTATCTATTTTATATATTCTGGAACAAGAATACGTCAGTGCAGCAACTGGATGATGCAGAAGAGACCACAAGTTTTATCACTAACTTTGATAAAGTGTTGCACATTTCAACATAGAACTGAAGTGACTCAAAGTTTTCCTGCTTTAATATTTCACGTCCTCTTCTCATTTTATCATACTGATAATTTTCTTACAGATTAAACACATGAGTAACTCTACCAGAGGCAAAGAGCACAGATGTCTCCTTTTTAAAACCAACGATGATGCGACACTATCCTGCCTCTTCAGATGGAGACTGATGGACTGGACAGTGATGGAGCTCATATTTCCTTCAGAGGTGGGAGCTTGTTTAATTAGCAGCGTGTTTAAGGCCAGAGACAAATGGAGTCTAAACCCAAAGGAACAGAATTCAAGCAAGACACATTAATGAAATTATATTAAGATTTTAAAATGAAAACATCTGAATTTGTAAATAAAGAAAACACATGAAACTAAACAATTTATAGACTGGCCATTTACTATTATGTTTTTACCGCTAGTTTACAGTTTTAGATTTTATGCAGTATCCATATTACTGTACTAGATAAATTATCGTGTGAGCAAAGCATATATATATACTGATAATAGTAATAATAATGAGAATTGTTTTATTCATACCACATACTACTTTCTCTTAGGTGCAAATTGCTCAACATAGAGATTAGGAAATTGAAACAAGAGTATAATCCGTTCATAAAACAGAGGATCAATAATTAAACACAACATATGTCACAATGAGTCTCTCCAGAATTGTATCAGGGTTGATCTGTTCTGCAGTTTGTGCTCCATGATTCTTTAAATCAGCTTAATATTTGATCAGACTTGCAAATGACAGTCAATACACATACATTGGGAGTGAGAGCGCTGAGATGTCTTTGAATTTCCAGCAGAGGGCAGCAGCTACCAACATAGGACTTCCTCCAGCAGAACTGTTGTTTCTATTTCCAGTCACAGAGCAACATGAGTGATATTTGAACCTAAACCTGTAGATATTTCTTTAGTGGACAACATTCAACAGTGAAACTAAATACAAAAACAATCTTTACAATTTACCGCAGTTCATTTAAAACAAAATATCCAACATTGACTTTGATGGAAATTAGATCTCACATGATGTAATGTGAGCAGGTTGTCAAAATATAATCAATGGAGGAATCTGCAGAGACGATTGAACACACAGGGAACAGTGGTGCTATTTTTTCTTTGTAGCGATTGCACCATAGTGAATTGAGACATTTCTTTTGGGTCAGACCCACAAATTAAAGATATTTTTGAATATGCAACTCTGTATTCTACAGGGCTATATTTTCAAAAAGAGCTTTTGCGTAAATTGCACGTCAAACTTTAAAACCCACCTCCTGATTTGCAGATTCAGGTTGATGAATAACCCTCCGCACATCCTACGCCTTCACCCCATTCAACCTTTTAACAATTAGGCCCCATAACCTCCACAATCCCTCGTACATCATATATCAGCACGTCCTCTGCAAACCACAGGACACACACACTACCTTAAAAATTAATAAGGCCGACAACATACTTGTCGCTATTTCAATGCCCAGCGTGTCCTCTGTGACTCATCAGTTCAGTTGTAAATCAGGCCAGTAGGAGCCCCGAGGGAGCGGCTTCCTCTAAAGCTCCTTCAAAACACTTTATATGGAGCATCAATAACCAAACACTTTGCAATAACACATATTGGCACAGTGGTATGAAATACTATTGATTGTTCAAATGAAAATCAGCAGGAGCACGAGCTGCTGCTGGGATTGTGGCCTCTGTGTGATTTTTGTCTACACTCTCTCTCTCTCCAGCGAGGATGAAGGCAGAGCAGCGTGAGGCATCATGGGTTATATTTAATCCAGCCATGCTCTTCTTTGGGATAATAACTTTTTTGCTTCATTCCAGGACTTGTCTGTCATCTTGACATGGCAATATCTCCCAACTCCACTGTTTCATAGTCAGTTTCATTTATTTCCAAATACCATTTCACACCCTGCTGGCTTTAACTAGGTATTATACAGCGTGCGGGGAGTGTGCTGCAGATTGAATCGTGACAGAGACAACAACGTTTCTGGTGAAAAATAAGTGAATATTGTAAGTGGCGGACTGTATAAAATGATTTCTTTTGCTCCATTTTCTTGGCATGAATTTGTGTGTCTGTCATCCAGGTCTCTCCAGTTTATGTGGGCTGTTTACACCTGATAAAATTTGGTCGCTTTGTTTTGTTTTTCAGTTTTTGAATTAAACTGTGAACACACAATCCATGCCCCTAAAAGCCACAATTTAAAATGGAAATGGTAGTTTTTATTTTTACAATAGTTGATATTTTCCGTATACTCTGTCAGGTTTATTATAGTTTTTAACTTAACATGTTGAAAAGAATTGAAGGAAACAATGTTTTTCGTTTTCCCATATGAAGACTTTGTATATTAATATATGGCAGGAAAGTTTAGTTTATTATTTGTTTTTTCTCATAATATTCTCATAATTTTGTGAGTTTTTTCTCAATTTCAAATGTATCCTTGTAATGCTATGACTTTATCCTAGACTATTCAGCATGGTCCTACTACTCCATCGTGATGAGCTGGTTAAAACTGAAGAACAAAACAGTCAGGAGATGTTAGCTTAGCGCGTATCTTTGTTTGTTTAATATGTAGATATACTGAAGTTGTTTGTTTTTTGTTAACTTACTAGATTTTTTTGATTCCTCCTGTTCTTATTGGTCTTTATTCTAAGCTTAGCTAATCACACTAATGCTAACCATATCTATACTGATATTTTCTTAATTCTTGACAAGAAAGTGAAAAAGTGTATTTCTCTCAGTGTGGAATTATTCCCCCAGATGAATTATCTCTGTTTCTTTAGCACAAACTTTTCAACATAACATACGTCATCCTTGTCTCTGTAAGTTAATCAACTTCAACTGACTTGCAGAAGTTTGTTTGGTGGTGATTTGTGTGTTTGTGAGCAAGATTTTGCAAGAATTCCGTGACAGATTTTCATGAAACTTAGTGGAAGGATGTGATATGGGTCAGGGAAGAACCCATTAAACTTTGGTGTGGATCCATTACAGGGAGACGATGCAGAATTTTTTACATTGTGAGATTTTTCTCAGAGAATGATTCATGGATCTTGATGAAAAAACAAATCAGGCATATTTAGGGGACTAAAATCTAAGTGGACTGTGGGGGAGGTATATGCTCTACTGTGTTGTTCTAGTCTCCAGTTTGCTCTTGTCAGGTATGAAGTATTTGCACTCCTACATGAACATGATGTAAAATGTGTGGGTTTTATTGTCACACACACACACACACACACACACATCAGCCCTTCAATGAAAACATCTTCCTCCTGAGTAAAGCTTCAAATCATAAAGTGCAAAAACCCCATCACAACAAAACCAGGTTGAATTTGAATTTTTTCCCACAGATGTTGCTGCATAATTCACTTTTACATTCTTGCACAACTATAAAGAAATCTTTTTGTCATTTCTTTATTCTTCTCCGGCAATAACCCTACACGCGTGTGTGGAGAGATCGCCCACGGGGTGCGTGTGCTGTGATGCCAGTAGGTGGTCCTGCCCATGGCTTGGTGGGCGAGTTTGGTGCCGTCCCTGCTGCTACTGCCACTGACATATCAGAGCTGTTTATTAAGAGGATGACAACTCTATCAAGCCCCATAAGCGGGCCCTCGTGCACAGGAGTTCTTTTGTTACTTTCAGGGAGAGTGTCATCAATCTTGCTGCCATGCTACTCTCTTGAGCTGTTGATGGCAAACACGATTCCTCCCTTTCTGCCTGGCCTCTCCCGCCTCGCAGTCTGGAATCAGGCGTGGTGAGGGGGATCGGGGAGATAGGAGGACTTTCCCCGAGAGTGCCTTTTCTTGACAGGCGACAGAGCGGACCATTTGGACACCAGGGGTGGATATATGGGACCATGTAATGAAAAGATGTTGACAGGACCTGCTCGCTCTGTAATGAAGGTCCTCTGGAGCTGTGAATGGATACACACATCTTTCACGCTTTTGTCTCCCTGCCGTTCCCACAGAATCCACCTCATCCATTTTAACCAAAAAAAAAGAGGAAGGTGTAAGAGAAGCATCCCAGACAACACTCACAGTGTTAAACATTTACATGCAACAACGTGGTGTGAATTTTTAATGAAACAGCGACTAAGTTGATTTACACCCACGACTTGTAGCTGAATCCCTTCAGCAACTGCCTGTGAAGGTGCAGTCGCATGTTCAGCCTCTTTCCTCTCTCTGTCAGTGCAGCTCAAGACTCAGTGCAGCTCACAGAGATGGACTATGATGTATGTACTCCACTTTAGCATTGGCTGAGGTCACAGACTCTATAAATGTCTTAGACAAGTCTGATATTTTAATCTCTTTTTAGTGAGGGGATGTTGGGCCTTTGCCCAATCAATACACAGGGCAGTAGCCTTGCCAAGATATCTCGTGGTTGCTTTTCATTGTTCTGCGTGGAAGCTGAAATGTCAACCAGAATGGCGCTGATCAAACGGAAGCTGAAAAACATCATTTTTTACAATGCAGAAGATTCGCCAATCACAGTCTGAAGACGCCTCTCGTCTGAGGGAGAGCAGCCAGACTGACACCTACAATGTTCCTTTTTATTCGCTAATCAAGTACAATCTGTTAAAGAGTGGGGAATGGGGGGGTTTGCTGCCTTTGTTAGCACACAAAGCCAAAAAATATCAAGACTCTCTCACATTAACATTGCTAATTTGTTTGCCAATGGTTTCCAAGGCGCTGAATAATTGGCTGTGAGATATTGTTTGTTCAGGTGTTCTGCATAATTGAATTCTGTATTGGAAATACTGGGGATGAATGTTGGATGAATACTGAAAAGAATCTTGTACTTTGCGATACATTTCTTTGAAATTGCTGTAGATTAATTCTCACCCCAATGGCGACTAGTGATGATTGCCGCATTAATTATCTGGGTAATGTGTAAAGCACACATGTTTTGAATTTTAAAACAACTTAACTCGTGTTCACCCGTTTTCAATTAATGTCCTCTTGTTGGATATCTTTTTGTGGATCCTTCTACACATGATATGGTTTTCCTTTGCGCATTATGACCTTTTGAAACTCGCAGATTGATTTCAAGCATCAATTTTTTTTTGCTGTAATGCTGCTTTTGTCAGCGCTCCTCTATGAGCTGTGTGCTGATAAGCCTGTTAATGTGTGTTGCTGTATAGCCGGGCCCGTGTGCACATGTGGAAGTGATATAGCGTCCAGCTGGACACATGTTGACAGAGCCGGATGATGTATTTGATCATAGTTAGTTGGGAGAAGGGTCTTGGTGCGGCTTGATTCAGCTCTCCGACGCTGACCTAATGCCTCGGCTCCATCCGTCACCTTGTCCTCCCCTTGACTCCTCACCCCGTGATCCTTCTCTCCCACCCCAAAGGA